TAGGGCTCCTCGCTCGCTTGCGTTTCTCAGGAGAGCAGACTTTATTACCTTGCTGTGGGAATCTCTGGGGGAGGGGGACGCGGGCGACGGGGGAGCGGGAGGTGACAATGGACAGGAAATGGTTTGGTGGGGGCTGCTGGAGACAATAACGATCTCGTTAAACGGGAGCAACAACATGCACCAAAAAAGGGAGAGCCTCGCTGCTGTAAAAGTTGCGGCTGGCTCAGCTGTACAGCAAGGGCTGGAGTCTGTTTCCTTAGCAAAGCCCCTCGGAATCCTGAGCAAAGCCCCTTGTGAGGCTTCAGAAAAACAGCCAAGGGTCTTGCGGAACCTTTAAGCCCGGCAGAGCTATCATGGCACAAGCTTTTCATACGAGAGTTTGCTTCATCAGATGCAGCCAGCAGGCTTAGGGTGGCAGATCTACAGCTGGATCCTGTGCCTGTCTACTCAGAAGGAGCTTCTCCCGAGAGGAGGGACTCTTAAATGCACTCAGCACTGCAGCCTTTGTCCCTTCTCCCCTCCACCACCAGCAATAACTGGTACACGACCATTAAAAAGATACCCCCCCCCACCTTCAGCATTCTGAACGCATTAAAAAGAATTCTCTCAAAAGTTACCAATGCAGAAACTGATATCTATCTCTTTCTGGGAAAAAAATAGAGTCCGGGCTTCATGCAATACATCATATCCCACTTTTTTCAGAACTAAAGGAGCTATCTCAAATCTGTGCGCGGCAATACCAATTTCAAATTTTAATTTCTTACAAAAGAATGCCCAGTTATTATTAAAGAATGACCATGAACAATGACAAGCATCCATAGAAAGCTAAGCAGCAGCAGTGAATGCATCATAATTTCAGCCCAAATACTCCAAAATTAAACTGGCTCAAAACCAAAAGTGAATTGATATAGAAATGTTTTGAGGTTCCACGTAAATCAAGATTCAATTGAGGGAGCTACAGAAATCAGAAAACCCCATGAAGGTCACCTTTCATGTCCCCACCAGCCAAATTATATGGATTGGTGATTTGTAAGAAAGGTCTCTGCTGATCTGGGAGGACTCATATGGGTACAAGGAGTCCTTTTCCCAAACTGGCCTTTAAAGAACAAAAGCACCAATTTGAACTGGGCCCAGAGACAAATAATCAGGCAGCATAACTGATGAAACACCTTAAGTGACATGCTTCCATTGCCCGCCTCCCGTATGTCTGTTTAGGCAGCTGTACCCCTAGAGTCAGACATGACTGGACTTTAATGTCATGAAAAACCTTTATCTTTTTTAACTTTGCAACCACTGAAGGTTCTGAGCCATATTCAAAGACAACGCCAAGAGGAACCCATTATAGTAGCTTAGTCCTGTTATGACTAGGGCAAGAGTAACAAGGATTGTTATCCTTAGATAGGATCAAAGTAGGCATATCATCTTAAGGTGAGAAAAGGCATTCCTAGTCTTGCTGATATCTGAGCTTCCATGGGTTGCACTGAGTCCAGGACCTGAATGAGGTGGAAATGCAACTGCAACTGGAACTGATTGCCTCCTTCCTGGCTGGCTAGTTTCCCCACCCACAGTACCTCCATCATACTTGGATTAAGTTTCACCTTGTTCTCTCTCATACATCTCAAAAATTGCCTCCAGAAACCTGTTCAAGGTTCCCACAGCATCCCTGGGATGTGTAGATGGACATAAGAGGCAATGAGATACTTTAGCTCAAATTTCTGAATGATTTCTCTTGGTGGCTTCATGTAAATGTTTAGACCATAGAGGACAATAGAAACTGTGGTGCCCCAAAACCCACATGAAGGAGAAGACCCCTAGCACCACCAACTGAGTTTGCCCCTGAAAGAGCTCAAGTCACTGAAAAGTTCTGCACCTCAATCCCTATCTGACCAGATTACTTAGGATACCATGATGGAACAGTGCCTGTTTCAAATTTGGAGAGCCCTTTGAAAAGAAAGCCTCAATAGAACCCACCTTTTATCAGTCTGTCTTCTTGCTGCCTTTGTCACCTGCTCCTTCTGGCTGCTCCTTCTGGTTATTATTATTCCTACCACTCACTTGCTTGGCATGGAAAGAACCAGGGAGCAAGCAGGCAGTGGCATCTACTGCTCCTCCTTCTCAGACCATGGTGTGTGAGCCAGAACAAGAGATATTTGAAGAAGCAGGTTGCGATGGTGGAGAGGAGAAGCAAGTCCAGGAGCCTCTTATCAGTGAGTCCTTGCTGGGTTGTAGGCCCTAAGCAGGTTCCCAGCCATGGGTACCTTTGATGCTGGCCCTGGTACTGAATACCACTGAATGGTCCAGGCAGAGAACAGAGTTGCACTTCCTTGCTCCTTCCAGTAGGGTCATGCCCACCATGTATCCTAGCCAAACTGTGAGAGTGGATTGGATCTAAACAATTAGTTTCATCCAGAAGATTGTGGATTTGAGAAGCCAGCATCCTCTCTGGAACTTTACTTAAGAATGGAGCATTTGACATGGGGTAATAATTATTCCAGGCCAAAATGTAACTTTTCCTCAACAGAGGGTCTTACTAGCAACTTTTTAAGGGCAGTGGTAACAATTGTATATTCTATTTCACATGACTCCAGTCCTCTGTCAGCTTCACTGGCTTCCCATTGAAGTCCGGGCCCAATTCAAGGTGTTGGTGATCACCTATAAAGCCCTTAATGGCTTGGGTCCTGGTTACCTGAAGGAGTGCTTAGGTCCATATATGCCCACCTGCCCCTTGAGATCTGCGGGAAAGGCCCTTCTCTGGGAACCCTCCATGAAGGAAATTAGGAGGGTGAGTACTTGGAGGAGGGCTTTCTCTGTGGTGGCGCCCAATCTATGGAATGCGCTCCCCAGAGAGGTCTGCCTGGCGCCATTGTTATTTGTTTTTCTGTGCCAGGTAAAGACCTTTTTATTCAAATGTTATTTTAATTGTTAATATTATTTATTCATTTTATTCTTTGGCCAGGGCGACTTAAGTTATATTGTTAATTTATATTATTCCACTGAAGTTTATTTATGGTTGTGAGCCGCCCCGAGGCTTCGGCGAATGGGGCAGCATAGAAGTCTCCTAAATAAATAAATAAAATAAATATTTATCGCTTAAAAGTATTGAGTTACATGGCATTCTTCACCCACTTCATTTCAGCAGGGCAAAGTTATATCTGGAGAACAAATATATCTAAATTGCAACCAGATTCTCTTTACGGTAGAAATGAATGAGGAAAGGAGACTTGAGGAAGAGTTACAAAGAAATCTTAATGTAGGCCACTTGCCAGTTGTGTAGATTTCTCAATTAGAAATAGGTGCAACTAATAATAAAGGCCTTAGTTGCAAACAATGGTACTTTTACCAAGAGAAGGCCCATTAAAATGAATGGGACAAGTTAGGCTAACATTGGATGGAGCCCTCTGTATCAGCTAGACTGCAGCACACGATCATATTTGAACAGTGATGGATGATAGAAACATTGATTGATTCCAGGTGTTCATGCAAACATGAATTCCCCATTTTACATCTTTGGGGACTACAATTTGTTACACGAAGCAACAGAGGTGTGGCATTTTAAAATATTTTATTTATTTATTTAAACATGTATTTATAGGCCGCCTATAACTGCTGAGGCCTTCCAAAATACACTGGGGATCCTTGTGCTTAGGGCTGCAGTCAGCTCTTTTCCCATTCAATAATTCTGTCCAAGTAGGACAGAAAGATCACTGACAGTCAGAAAGACACTTTGTTATGAGTTCAACTGATTTTGGTGGAATTTACTTCTTAAGAAAAATCTTAACCTAAAACTGGTCAATGCACTTCTCACTGATCTCAGTGGGCTTTACGGTGGTGCCACTTCCACAGAAGTCAAGATCAGGCTGTAAATTCAATTTAATCCAACTATAGCTAGGGTCGCAAGGCCGACAAGAAAGCAAACATATATATGTTCCCAGTCCATCAGGAGATACACCGTGGGGAAGAGGTGTGCACAGTGGAAAGCGTGCCATTCTTCCGGTTTCCTATTCTTCCTTCTTGGTTAAGAAAGCGGGAAACCTCGCGACCGCTTTCATGCACAGAAGGCGCGAGTGTTCCTGTAACAAAGTCCTGGGAAAGGCTGCTTCTGTGGTGGTGACAGGTATAAACAACCGTCGGCTCTGCCTCTACCCTTTAGGCTGGCGACGCGTTTAAAACGGTTTTCTCCACAACAAATGACCGCCTTTGTTATTTACCCCGCGGTCTGAGCCTGCTTTATTCCGAAGGCCCGGCGATTTGAATAGTATTGATATGCATGGGAGTGTGTTTTTTTAAAGAGCGGGTCCCTCAAGACGAAAGTTCGAAGGGGGCTCTGCAGACGCTGCCGTTTGAAGGGGTACCGTCTGGCCGCGATCATTTAGCTCGGAGCGGGCTGAGCTTTGCTGGAGCGCCGGGCGCATCTGCTGGTGGGTGGGTGGCAACTACTGGGACAAGCAAAGGGGATGCTGCCCACCAGTTATGGCGCTGTTGCTGACATGGGCCATTTCCTTTCAGGCTGCTGAGACCGCAGGCCCGGCGGCTTTGATAGAGGTGCAAACATTTGGGGGCAGATTTACATAAAATAGCCGCGTTTAATCCCACTGGCTGCAATTAACATCACAGGCTTTTCCCCCCGGGCACTGTTCTGATATGGCCGCAGGGAGCCAATCAGGTGGGCGGGCCGGACACATCAAAGATACTCTCCTCCAATCAGGTGAGCCCCCTACTGGCATTGTGATGTCACAAGGAAGATACTTATGGGGGGGCATAATTGCTCCCCGCTTGACCAGTTTCAAGTGGCGCTGACCAGAGAGGTCAAGTGGAATTAACCCCTCTGCCCCCAAACTATAGATCCCTCCCACAGGAAAGGTGCCTCTACTCCCCATCCCCATCTGTAGCTTCCCGAGGGGTTGTCCCAGACAATTTCTCCAAGACCGAGAGTGTGGGATACAGAGAAGCTGGAGGCGACTCTCGGGCAATAAGGAGTTTTGGTGGGGTGCGAAGGAAGGATGACTTCTCCGAGTACGGACAGCTCCGGCAAGAGCCTGCAGTACCGAGTGGATCATCTGCTGAGCGCCGTGGAGAACGAACTGCAGGCGGGCAGCGAGAAGGGAGACCCCACCGAGAGGGAGCTGCGAGTCACCCTGGAGGACAGCGAGCTGTGGCTGCGCTTCAAGGAGCTCACCAACGAGATGATCGTCACCAAAAACGGCAGGTAGGAGGGTCGAAGGCGCTAGTGGCTTTGGGAGGATGGCACCGCTTACTTTCGAGGATCTGCCCAACACGAGCCAAGAAGGCGAGCTGAGCTCGGGCTCTGGGAACCAGATCGGTGAGCGCCCATACACATCCGAAACTGCCCATCCCCGAACCTGTTGCAGCATGGACTGCTGTTGGAGGAAATCTCTTCCCGAGCTGCCCACCTCTGTCGACTCCTCTTGTCTTCCCGCGATGCCACGCCTTCACGCCTCCCTTTCTTTCTCCCTTGACCACCTGCACCCTAGTCCTCCCACCCATTCCTCTTTCCTGCCTTATAAGCTTCTTCGGCAATTTCCCCTTCCTACTCCATTAAAGAAATGGTCAGCTTCTCAGGCAAGGCCCTGACTACATGCTGAGCCCTTGAATCCCACCGATGCTGCCTAGGCCATCTCACTCTCCCACCGCTCGCTCTAGATGGCTGCTTATTTTCTAACGTGGGGTCGTCGGACAGACAGCTCCTGCAGCGTCCGCCCTCACCTTTGGGCACAACAGGGCTCATTGCAGTAGGGCGCTTTCAGCCCGAGTTTTGCTCACCTTCTTGAGCGCACGGCTTTCTTTGTTGCATAAGGCAAAATATACCTTGTCACGACCTAAGCGCCTGCCCCTTTGTAGAGGAAAGTCCGCTGAGGTGGGGGAGGAAAGCCCCACACCCCACCGCCCATTCAGGCGCAAAACCGGAAAGCGTGCATCTCTGCCTTTGATTTCAGAGGGAGAGACTTCCTCAAAGCGCCGGGAATCCTAGTGAAAGCGAAGCGATTGGCTTCAGAGCGTATTTTTATCTGTTAAAACTTCACTACTCCTAAATACACTGAGTTGGAATCCAAAGAAGTTGCACTGCTTGTTTGCAAGCTGTGGTCGTTTCAGTAGAACTTAGGACACTCCAGAATCTTTCTGATCACAGCCTTCCAAAAGGGCTGCCCTTGCCAGGCATCAATTTGTGCTCATCAATTTGAGTCCTTCAGTGTATTGTAGTTTTCTCCAGTTTTTGAAAATTCTTCATCAGGGTTTATAATAACGTATAAAAAGGGATGGTGATGATGATGAAGAAGATGATGGAGGGAGCTTGTGATAATCATGCTGGTATAAATCGGTTAAAAAACAACTTAAGGGAAACGAAGCAAAACTCTCTTCGGGGTCTTGGTCCTGAGATCCTACTTGCTTCTGAATTTCACTGAAGTCAATTAGATTTTCAAATCAAAGGAAATAGCAAATTAAGTCCTAAAGCGTAAGTCTCAAGACGTTATAGTGGAACTGGCTTCTATAGTTTGAGGGCAATGGATTGCTTTCATGGGATTACACCGCAGTGGTAGCTTCCTGAAGACATTTGCACCTCGACCTCCAAATCGTTTATCCTAAAGGAAGTGCAACTGATGTCGGTGGAGCTTACTGCCAAATAAGATGGCTCAGGATCCGTGCTTGCCAACGGGGAAACAGTCCGCTTCCAGGCGGCTTGCCCTTCCAGGGGAAGGCCCATTGATTTCATTGGACATTATACGCTAGCAGGGCCATTCTGTGTCTTGCATGGCCTTCCTTCGGGAGATCGTAAGCCTGCAGTCCCGCTCGCATGCGACTGATAAAGCATAAATAGTGTGATGTTATTACTGCGTATGACTGAGCAGCCCAAGCACACTAGGAAGAAAATCCCACGGAGTTTAATGGGACGCACCAGCCATGCAGCCCGCGCGCAACTTTGGGCCAAATGACCCCCTGGAGAGCAACAGGTGCTGTGAGGTCGGCTGCTGCCCTCATTTACTTTCTGTAGTTAGGATGGTGCTGTTATTGAAGTGAGTTTAAAACGCCTATGCCCACGCTCAGAACATCATCATTTAAAGCAGGGTTGCCAAAAGGTTTGTTTGCTGCCCTAACATGTAAAAGTGTAGAAGCAGCTGGAAAGCATGGAATGGCGGCTGGGAGGGGGAGGAGGGGGGTGGAGGAATGTCAGCCAAGCGCTTCGCAAACTGAAACGCACGGCCTTCTAAAGGGACCTCCCGTAAGTCCATGAAGTCCAAGGGTCTAGAACGACCTGGGACCCATGTCCAAGCCAGCCGCCTCTCTGCATCAGGTCTACGGCGAGATCTTGGGAAAGTAGCGCCCTGACACCTGGCCTGTGCTGGGTTTCCAAGTTGCGCCCGGGGGCCTGGCGAGGCCCTGTCTCTTCTTGGCCCCTGGGAGGCGGGCGGCCCGGGCCGGGCCACGCTGAGGGTCTGGGGGCAGAAGAGCAGCCTCCGGGCCCGCTATCTCGTTCGCTCGCTCTCCCTCGGGTCCAAAGGACGCAGTGGGCCGCGGCGACGTGGCCTAGTGCCGGGCCCGCCCGCGTCTCCTCCGCTTCTCCTTGCATCTCCTCCCCGCAGGCGCATGTTCCCGGTGCTGAAGGCGAGCGTGTCCGGCCTCGACCCCAACGCCATGTACTCCTTCCTGCTGGACTTCGTGGCGGCCGACAACCACCGCTGGAAGTACGTGAACGGCGAGTGGGTGCCGGGCGGCAAGCCTGAGCCGCAGGCCCCGAGCTGCGTCTACATCCACCCGGACTCGCCCAACTTCGGCGCGCACTGGATGAAGGCCCCGGTTTCCTTCAGCAAGGTCAAACTCACCAATAAGCTCAACGGAGGAGGCCAGGTGAGGAGGGAGCCCTCGGCAGCGGGCGCAGCAAGGCGGGGCAGGCCGAGCGTGTCCCACTTCGTGGGTCTTCAGAAAGGGAGTTAGGCGCGCTCTTAGGCCTGTTTAAGACAGGAAAAAGAAAAGTGACAGCACTCTGCAACTTGGAGAAGATTGGGAGTTCTTGTATTTTATTCTGTCTAATCAAGCATAGGATTGTGTCGTTATATAGCCCTAAGTATAGGATGTTAAGGCATCCCACTGTAGCTCACATCTTCAGGATATTTTCGCTGAAGTCAGCCCTATTGATTTTGATGGTGTTAACATTCAGTTGGCCGCACAGTTCGGGTTGCAGCCCTCTTTAATTTCCAGTCCATGCTTCATTTATAAATAATTTTCACTGGGGTGTGGTGGGAGGCTACTTGTTCCACTCCCCTCTCCTATTTGACATGAAGAGAAGATTTGCAGAATTTAGCTGTGGAAGATGTTAGTCTGGACTGCAAGGAATAGTGGGTTGCTTGTTTTCTGTTCCTCATAATCAGAACTTTTGCTTGGAGGATTGTTTTCAGACAGGATCTTTCTGGCATTGTATAGATTGATTCATATATTTCAAAGACAAAAATTAGGACATTTATGTATTTGCATATCAAAGATAATTGATGGAGCATCACATTGTGACTTACAGTCTCAGGCACTGTGTTATCTGTACTTGTTATCATTTATTGGTAGACTTTTTCAGACATTGAGAGTGGAGTAGGATTCAGTTCATATCTGCTGTCCTCTCTTTTGACTTTGTACCTGCACAGTTTCCAGAGGGGCATCTCTTTTAGTCTGTTGCAGCAAAAACAACTGTCTTGCTGCACCTTAAGGACTAACACATTTCATAGGGCATAAACTTTTGTGGACTATTGTTCACTTAATCAGAAGCATAAAGTGTTACATGCTGGTCAACTTCAGATAGCACTTTGTGCATCTGACAAAGTAGATTCTGGTCATGAAAGCTTATACATAATAAAAATTTCCCTTTAGGTTGCCACAAAGTTCTTTGTAGCAGCAAGGAACTGTGTGCTCAGAGATTCTTGCTTCTTTGCAACTTGTACGCAGCATGTAGGTTGCATGCAGACCTTTGTATAAATGCCTGTGGAAACTGGAATGGCAGTTCGATCTTGTTCCCCTGCTCTTCATGTGTGTTCACTAAACATCTGAAAAATGTTATGTATGGAGGCTACTGGTTCATGGAGGCTACTGGTGTAGTTAGTGGAATCAGCATAGCAGAGTTGGAAGGGGCCAGAAGGCTATCAGGTGTACTGCAGGATACTAAGTTACACCATCCCATTCAGCACACTAATTATAGTAGTTTTAAGCAACAACACAACAGCCCTAAGAATATGTAATAGAGATTTTAATTTTACAGCGGATCTGGCTGTACTTAGCAGCAACTCAGCCAATTGCTGTCTGGATAACGGCATTTGAAAGAATGATAGAACAGTGCATTGACAGTTTCTGTCTAAATTCATACCTTGGAATAAAATGTACCCTCTCACCACATAAGAGATTTATTTTCTAGAAATTGAGGGAGAGGCTTGCCACAAAAAAGAATGTTTATGTACCTTAAAAACATTACAAAGAAAGTATCTCTAACATTTTAATACATAAATAAACTTACTTCAAAGGCAGCAAGAATGGTGGTTTATCAGGGGGATTGGAACTTTAGTTTTGCTAAACTGAACACATCCTTACAAAATAGGAACAGTTGAAGAATATGCTGAATCAGTCTGCCTGGGGCCTGGAAGCTACAAGCTGTATTGGCAGAGTTGATCTTAGAAATAAAGAGAAGCATCTGATTTGAGTTAAAGGACAGGAGTCTGTTAATTATTTAACTTAGTTTTTTTTAACTGAGTGAGGTACTATGTGGATTTTTTAATCTAAGCATACAAACATCTTGAGCCACCCCTGAAACTGGCACTGTTGGTGGCTCTTTAGGATAACTGTGGCCAGTCTAACCATTAGACAGGAGTCTAGCAGGATCAGTGAAGTCAGCACACTGCAAAATAGGTATTCTAGCAGAAATTGCCCTAGGAGTATGTTAGGGCAAGAAAGGTGTGGGGTGGAAATGGTTCAATTTTTAAATAAATATATAAATAGTACGTGATGTTTTGTATTTCTTCCTTGAGGCATCTTCCCTCCCTTTTCAAGCCTGGATGTGCTACTGGGATAAATCAGCTAGAGTGGAAATGTTTATCTTCCTCAGATAGCAGGTGCTTCCCCAACAGTTGTTAGCACCAAGCTGATCAGTGAAAACCTATGAGGAGAATGAGTGGAGGGGTTTCGGGCAATAGTCACCTCTGATTCTGCCACCACTCCTACTTTTGCTAGTCTGAGGCCTGCTACTCTAGATTAACATCTATCAGTCTCTGTGTAGCTTTCAAGTACATGGAAAATGAATGCCTATGACATTCCAAAAGTCCTTTCTGAGGCTGCAGTTCTATGCACACTTACATGGAAATAAAACCCTTTAAATCTACTAGTACTTACTTCACAACAACCATGCATAGGCTTACATTTTATTTAAGAAAGTAACTTGTCATGGAATAGTGAGCTAGCTTGGTGTCTGGCAAATCATGGAAATATCAGAATAGACGGAAAATTGTACTTAGTTGAAAGACAATATCATATTCATATTTAAAACATTCTAAGTGCTTCCCCTGCCCCACTCTTTATTGTGTTTCCACGGCATAATGGGGTGTGAAAGACAAAGGCAGTTGGATTGTGAATCTTTGTGTGGCAGCTGGCCATACTTTTTCAGGTAGCTGTACTGGAGGGGACAGTACAACATGCATCCAATGACATGGAAGAAAGGGTAGATATGTTTTTCCAGGTTGCTTCTTATGAGAAGGAACTGGACAAACTGCACTATTCAGGTAGTACTTTTCCCCTGCTGGCCTCTGACATTTATGTAGTCTAGCTAACAGGAAATCAGTATGGTCAAAAATACTCCATATGACTTTATTTAAGTAAGGAGAATTAATGTACTTAAATAATATTCCTGATCACTATATTAGAAACATGTATATTTGTATGTTGCAATACAAATGTGCATGTTTTAACTCTAGCCCCCAAACACTATAGCAGAAAAATCAGTACACAAAAGGAAAAAGCTGCCAGGTGATCAACCAGGTGTAGTTGCATGGTATGCTCCAGTATTAGGCACCACTAGTGTTTCAGTTGTGTATCAGTAGTGGGAAAACAGACACTGTCCCTGTTAATTAAGCAGTGCTGGAACAAATAAATTTATATTCTTGATTAAAGAAAAACCTTCTCCCTTCTCCCCACTGGGAGTAGAGACAACTGTTATTCTTCAAATATTGAGTTTTTCAATCACCAAATGACCGTTTATCTTTAGTTTCTTTTGTGGAAAAGGGACATTTCATAACCAGTGTAGAATTAGGCACACCTAAACCAATTGATTGCCATGAAGTTAGGCATGCATAAGTCTGAACTAGACTGGGCTGAAAGTAGATTTTTTAAAAAATCTTTTTTTCCTAGATTAGATGGAGATTGATAATATTTTCTTTACTGAACAGTCATTTTTAGTAATGCAATGATGAGGATCAAATAGGAAAGGTTTGCTTAGCAGATCCATTGTATATTATAATTGAACCATAACCTTGGGCTTACATTATTTGATAATCAGTAATTGCATTTGTACTGTATTAGTTATATAATACATTCTGTCCACTTCTGAAATCCTTTTCAGTGTAACTTTAACAGAAATGAAGCTATGTTTTTTCAGAGACTAGCCTTCTTCAGATAATAAGCTGAGATATAAACAAGGCAAACGCAGCCACTTCATACTCTTTTCCCCACTGGATGAACAATGAAGGCAGAAAATAACTAGTTTCCTATTTCATCAAAACCAAAGAACTTTGTTTATTAACTTTTAAACAAGCCAGGATATTAAACTTCAAATTGTGGTCTAATATATTGGCTTGTTTTGAGGCTGGTAACACATTTAATCAAAACTGGGAATCTGTTTACAGCTTTTGATAAAATGGGTAACTATGGTGGATTCTATGCTTGCTGGTTTGATAATTCCCACGGTGCATTTGTTCTCCTGCTTATAAAATGAGATATCATTGTCTCCAGACTTATTTAATACATTGGTCTGGTCTGTATAGAGATAGTCTGGGTTATTTTGCTCTTTGTTTTTGTTTTAATTTGGTAAATTCAAGCTTGCCTGATGTCCACTGATTTTGCCCTCTTTTAATTAAAAAAGCCCTGTAGCTAATGATGTAATATCAAAATGTTCATGGCTCTGTGTCAGTACTTACTTTTGTTGACTTTATATTAACAGATCATGTTGAACTCCTTGCACAAATATGAGCCTAGAATTCATATAGTGAGAGTTGGTGGGCCTCAGCGGATGATCACCAGCCATTCTTTCCCGGAGACCCAATTTATAGCTGTGACAGCTTACCAAAATGAAGAGGTAGGTGCAAAATGAGGCGAAGCTGCGCACTGACTTTCCTTCTTGGATTCAGTAAAGGGGGAATTCATGGAGTAAGAAGGGAGATGTTAAGGTGGGACTATGCGATTGTGTCTTAGAAGTTAAAAAGAGACGTAATAGATGATCCCCTCTACTGAGTACTGAACAATTAAAAAAAGGAAAACTTGTAGAAAGTAGATATATGCTATATACTAGGGGAGGTGTCCGATGTGTAAGAAGACTTCAGCAATGAAATAAACTGTCTAATGAAGTTCAGGGGCTCGTTTTGAAGGAAGGAGGGTTTGAAGAAAAGCTTTGAATCGCCATCACCTGAGAGTATACTATTTTATAATGAAAGTCAGAACTATTTTCCACCAAAAATATTTAGCTATAATTCTATGTAGGTTTTTATTTTATGCCACTTGCCACATTTTATGTCCTTTTGTCTCATTTTTAGTTGAACATCAAATGATCTAATTCAGCTAGAATCATTCCACTGTTTTAACCAAGTAATGGCAATACTATTGTAGCTTCCGAATGTTTATCTTCATGTTACAGTCTTGCTTGTAAAAAGTTCCAGAGAAACACGGGGCTTTTAATAAGTTATTCCGGCTTCTTCCCTTTCGGTTATGCTCTGAAACACATTTAATTGCAAACTGTTACACTGATTTACATGAAGTTTGATTCAAAATAAGATCTTTGAAGAATAAAGTGCTGAGCCAATAAATCAGGTTGAAAGATAATTACATTTTACTGGATCTCAATATAACTGATATTTTGAGCATGTAAAAATAGCTTTGTAGTTAACATGATCAAATATTCCCTTTCTTAAATCAAGAGAACCTGGAATGTTCACTCTCAACACAAAACTACTTGCCAGCTGAGAGAACACTTTTAAACCCATATTCTAAAATCTATGATAAACTTTTTTACTGCTCAGGTGTAATATAATGAGACAGTTCAACTGCCAGTAAAAGAAAATAAAATTCTATTCTGATATATCTATATGAATTTCCATCCTATTTTATACCTGCTAGGCTTTACTGAATTCAGTGGTTCTTCTTCTAAGAAAGTAATAGCTACCATTTTCCTTCAAGTGGTTTTTTTTTGTCTGCCCTGTTGATTCTGCATCTGTTGCTAACATTTATTCATTATCATTATATTGCTGAGTTTCTGTATATAATCAGTCCTGGTAGGAGATTCAGCAGTAGTTGGTGTGCTGCAGTTAGTATATTTTCGGTTGACACTTTATGAAAACAAGTATTATTTTCATCCCTGATTAACATAACTACATAATTAATAATTTATTGACAGCAGGTCATAATTTAAGGTATTCTTTATGAGTTTTCTGACTTTATTCTGTATTATTCGTCGAAGATATGGTGATGTTCAAAGATAGAAACATTTATCCTAAACTCCCGTTGCAACGCATTTGAAGGTATATGATAAATGTCAACAAGGACCAAATACCAATGAATGGTAACTTAAAATATAATACAAAACCACCTGTTAAGGAGCCCAAGACCAAATTGTTGGCCAACAGTCAACAATTCTGAGCATAGCGACACTTCCAAGATTTTTGTAAAGAAGTCTTAAAGTCCTTGTGTTTCCCTCAATAACCTGGGAAAGGTGTGATACAAGTCCTTTGCAGTCAATGTGCTGCATTCTTATCTAATAATTCAAAAGATGTCAACAACATGTTGGGCCAATTTGTTTTTGAAGTGACCATTGTATTCATGAGTAATGTATTCTTCACTGCAGTACCATCCCTCCTTTTTTATCCAGAAACCTGAAACTTTTTATAACTGTTTTAGTGTATCCTCCTTTTATGTACTTCCTTAATAGGATAATAAAATTGGGCAAAGGGGTGGGAGGATGTTGTAGTAGAGAGAATGGTTTCAAAGCGTACTGTTGTGGTATGAATGGTTTAGATGCTGTTCTGGTAATTTCATTCTGGGCCATTTTCCCTCTAGAACCTAGTGTGAAATCCCCAACAGATTTGGCAGAAGTAGTGTATCACTGTCTCAAGAAAGATGAGGAAAAGTAGTTAAAGACATTTGGATTTGAGACTTTTTATTTGTGTTTTTTAGATAACAGCTTTAAAAATTAAGTACAATCCATTCGCGAAAGCATTTCTTGATGCAAAAGAAAGGTGAGAACTGTTGGTTGTTTTCATTCTTATCCGCAAAGCACATTTCAAGGTGTTTAGTCTCCTTGGCTAACAAAATATTATTTCTTTGACAGAAGTGATCACAAAGATATGATGGAAGAAATGGGTGACGGTCAGCAGTCAGGGTATTCACAATGTATGTCTAAGCTCTCTTCTAAAAGTTATTTTATAATATGTCTCCAGTATTGTTTTTGCATTGTTCACATGGCCTTTTTGCTGTGCATTTGGTACAGTGCAAGGTAAGGTGCTGACTTGTAAATATGTCCTCTATTACACTAACTTCACTGTTTCTGTGTCTCCTAGGTTATAGCTTGTATGTTTTTCACTTTCCTAATTGTTTACAATCTATTTACTAATCAAGAGTGATTTTTCTGGGAAGTTCTCATGTGTGAGGGTTGTGTGTGCAGCAGTGCCCATCACTTTTTTTTCTTTGCCCTGAACATGAAATAGTAAAGAAAACCTGGATGAAGTTTCCCAGAAAATACACTGGAAGGAAGGGTAGTTTTCCATGAAAAGGAAGGATTGCTGCTGCATTCATGGATCTCTAGATCTTGGATGATGGTTACCATTAAGTAGTCCAATACATTTTTTTGAAAAGCACTATTTTGATCTATGGTAGAATGTGTAGATGTAATATATTGTACAATATTGCTGAAAACCTAGCTCTTCCTTGCTTAAAAATGGTGGAAAGTTCATATCCCTCTGAAGTTGGTTTAAACTGTGAATTACTTTAATAACACATGTCTGCACCTACAATGTTTAAAATACAAAAAGTTTATTGTGTGTCACATGGAAGTATTCATACCCATGGAAATTAGAATTCCTGACAACACAGAAGAGCTGGCAGTATAGTTTCATTATCCTAAAAGAATAAAGTCCAGACAGCAGGCTAGCTTTCTATTCTAGAATAGCTCCACGGTAATTTCATTAAAATCTCTGAAAGAGCTCCAGGGTTCATAGATCAGTAGCAGTAAAGCTTTACAGTATTTTAGAAGTCTGATTATGTTAATCAACATAGTCAATAAGTGGATTGGTATATAAGTAGCTTTCAGCCCCCATTATTCTATCCAGATTAATGCTGTGTTGCCATGTACATTGTTCTCACATTTCTGATTGTTGAATCATTCTTTCTGATGGCCATTCTCCCTTTCTTTCTCCCAAAGTATCAGATACAAGACTTGGTAGTGCATATGTCATTTTCATTGCTTCCGATTTCATGAGAAAGGCAAACAAGAGGCATGAGGGAGGAAGTACGGATTACCCATTATGTGAGGATGTTGCTGAAAATGGCATTCCTGTGTAGAGTTCTCCCCCGCTTCCTGTGTAATGTATAAGAAGACTACTGTTGCCATTACTCCATGTTATTGCTTGGTGTGGGGAGTGCCCAGCATGTTAACCTTGCAATCTAGCTAAGTATCCTTCTATGTCACAGAGGAAGAAGATGAGAACTTGTAAGGAAGCCATTGTTGTAGTTCCACTGTAAATAAAGGTTTAGGCTGCAATCTGGAGGTAAGTTTCATTGAACGTTGGCTGAGTAGCTATGTGTAGATCTGCATTGTTAGTTATTTGATATCCCAGAAGAGTTTTATGCAAAGTACTCACTGTTATCCTAGACAGTCCATGCTATTATGTGTTGGAGAAGTGAAATACTGTTGCTCTTCTTGCAGTAGGTGGTTGGCTGATTCCTGGAACAGGAACACTGTGTCCTCCTGCCAATTCTCACCCACAGTTTGGAGCATCTCTGTCACTCTCCCCTGCTCACAGTTGTGAAAGGTATTCATCACTGAGGAATCACCGCCCTGCCCCTTATCCAAACCCATATACCCATAGAACCAATTCTCCAAGTAAGTGCTTTCTATTGCTCTCAGGTTGTATAGTGGGATAAGAGCACACAGAATTTCAACTGCATTTATATTTAGCCTTTAAGGCAGCAGTCCTATTCGTGACTTGTAAATTGATCTTGCCTGTGTACGGAGGGAACCAACCAGGAATCTGGATCTTCTCTGTAAGCAATTTTGCATTGCTTGTTGGCTACATGGGCAGACTTTTAAAATTATTCTCCTAGGTTATATAAAGGCTGTTAAGTTGCAAACCAATACATCATCATCATCATCATCACCATCAACAACAACATTTTTGTCAATTAATATGTAAACTTAGAAAATTTATGAATGTCAAAATAAGAAATTTGATTTAAAGCAATTATTTACATTTCTCTTTCTTCCTTTCATGATTTAAATCATGCTTTATATCAAGTGTCTCCTCTTGTCTCTGTTCTGAGCAAATTTTGTTCTTGGAAGGAATGACTTGTGCTAGTTTGACATTAAAAATTTGAACAATCGAAATCAGTTGTTTTCTGGTGCTTGCCATTGAGTGTATTCTGTGACATGGTCTCTCTATTTTTTAAAAGTTACTATAAAATTTTAATACCTGAATTGCCAGACTAACAATACAAGCACAGACCCAGTTCAATATTTCAAGCTATAATGCTATGTTCTAAAGCTTGCTATGCCAAGTGTACAGAGAGAGTGACCTGGTCTACATATAAGCATGGAGGACTGTGGGTTAATTAACCCATGATTTGGTGTGGTGTGTGCTGGGCTCATTTCATCATCACTATGAACAGTTAATGCCATCAGGGGTTACCACATGATGTCTGAATCCGGACACTAGACATTAACCATTGTTGGGCAGCCCACAGATAATGTACAATTATTAGTTTAACATGCAATTAACCTGTAGTGGCCAGGTTTCAACATCAGTATTCAAAAAGGTTGTGGAACATTCCCAGCATGCGCAGCATCAAATACTGAGTTAATTGAGCCATGACTTGTTCCTGTTAAGTGCAAACAGCCCCATAATATTTGTGCAAGGTTTTAAAAACAGGTGATGGTTCTAGGAGTGCTGTTATACTATATAATGTTATCTTTACCTTTAATTGGTTGACTGTAAAGCTTTCATTTGCAACTAATAGTCAATCCAAAACAATCTCACTCATCCATGATTTAATTCTGGACGAGAAGGCTGTTCTGGTATGCATTTCGGAGACCAGGATGAGGGAACTGGGATGGGTTAATCTCTTGCAGCTGTCCCCTCCTGGGTGTTGGTGCAGCTCCAAAATCAATTTCAGGGCCAGGGAGTGAGGGACATTTGTGTGGTCTATAGGAATGTTGATGTCCCTCTCATGGCTTCCCGTCCATTCAGGTGCTGATTGTGAGTGTTTGTACTGTGTGTTGATACACAAGACAGGTTAGAGGTTCTGCTGCTGTACTAGCCATCCCTGTATCCCTTCCTGAGCTGACAGAGGTGCTCCTAGATTGGGTAGTGGTTTGGGGGGATTTCTGGTTCTATGCTGAGGTTGCTTGATCTGGGGTGGTTCAGGTCCTGCTGACAGCTATGACAACCATGGAGTGCTGGTAATACATCATTGGCCCAATACATTCTTGATTTGGTTTTCTCAGGTAGCCAAGTTGAGGAAATTAACCCCTATCTAATTGTCATAGTTGGCTCACTCCCTGTTGAGGTTTAGTCTCTTGGGCTTTTTCCCTTTGCAAAGGGGGATGCTCTTAACATGATTTGGTCACAGAGGCCAACAGACTCCAATGGATTCCAGAGGGCTTCAGAGAAGGGTGCTGTTGGTATGGCTTGTGCACTTGTTAAAGCCCAGGACCCTCTGTGGAATGCAGAGAGGACTCAGGTAGTAGAGTTGTTCTCTGAGTAGAACCTGGCCAACTCCTCGTTTTATATGTGAGCTGAAGACAATGAGCATGCAGGGAGACGGTCAGAATGCAGGTGAAGGAAAATTCATGCAGAATCTGACCAGCTATACATTAGAGCTCATAACTGAGACTATGCTGTGGCTGTTAGGGTGGTAAAGAGGAGATCCTTTTCTACCACCACTGCATCTTAGTGTCATTCAGAAGAGCTTGCCCAAGTGGTTCACGGCCTGCTGTAATTCAGGCCAGGTAGACAAACACTGGAAACTTTGGTAGCATGCTGTGACAAGCATGCACATTGTTTTGAGAATAAAGTAGCAGAGATCCATCATGAGTTGGACATCCCACTTAATACAGGTACATTAGTAGAGTTGTCCAGAGCACCTTCTGGTCCAGTTTTTTGGGTAAATTTTGCTGTGATGGCCTGAGGAGATACTCAAGGTCTTTAACCAAGTCTGATTGACTACCTGTTTGCTTAACCCCTGCCCTTCATAGCTTATTACCCATAGTAAGGGTATCAGTCTGAGTCCAGGAGGTTGTATTGTCCTCCATGAGAGAAGTGGTGCTGACATCTTTAAAGGAGATGACAGTAAGTCCATTTCTTTAAAAAGCCTTACCTAGGTCCAGATGATGATAGCAACTATATGCCAGTAGCCTATATTCCCTTCCTGGGCAAGGTATTTCAGTGGGCTGTTGCCAGTCAACTTCAGGCACTCTTGAACAAAATGGATTGTCCAGGTCAGTTTTAAACAGGTTTCAGGGTTAGTCTTGGAACAGAAATAGCCTTGGCCACCCTGTTGGATGAGTTTTCCCTAGGACAGGGATCCTGTGGTGCCCTTGTGGAACAGGCATCCCAGAAAGACTTGCCTAGCACCTGTGTTCTGCCTTTTCCAGCAGCAGGAAAAGACATTATTTCCCCAGGGATTTCAGTCTTTCAGTCTCTGTTGTTTCAAATCTTTTGTTGCTGCTTTCACTTTGAATTTTACTTCCACTTTAAATTTTTATTTTAAATCTTTGTATTGTTGCTTTTACTTCTATTTTTAATGTAGTTTTACACTTTTAAAGTATGTTTTAAGTTGCATTTTATGGTTTTAATTGTTGGGAGTTGCCCAGAGAGCTTCAGCCACTGGGCTGTATAGAAATATAATAAATAAAAAAATGTCTGTATATATTTAACCAAGAGAAATACATGAGAAATTAGCTTGTTCTGATTACACTGCTCTTCTTGTCTTATTCATGTTTACAGTAGAGGGGTATGACAAAGAGGCACAATTGGGAGTTAGCACTTTCCAAAATGGGAAGAAGTGATGGTGGTGATATCCTAGGGAGAGATCATATGAGGAATAGCAGATCTCATATCCTGGATTCTTACACTTGATTCACAGTCTCCCAAATGACCCACATGTCTACCTATAATTAGGAATATTTGAAAAGAAGAGAGTTCAGCTGCCTATCACAGTTTTGTGGAATGGAGTAACCAATATTAGCCTGGGATCTTTAGCTGGCTTTAGAGGCAGGAAGGTCCCTCATTTTAAAGCTTGATGTGAAGTAAACAAAAAATGCATGTCTTTGTGACAAAGCACTGAGTATGGCATTTGCTGCTGACTGAAGCACCTTAGATATGAAAGCAGGAGAGTACGTGCCCAAAGATATCTCCCCAGGCATACCTGCTAAGCAAGTGAATCAGGGAGACATTGTTCTTTCTGACATGTAAGAGTTTTATTTATTTATTTAAAGTTTTTGTATGCCGTCCCCTTGCTATATAGCCTATTATCATTCTGTATTTCATACAAATAGGCTGCCTACTCACCACTGGACCAGGTTCAAGGTTTTGGTGCTAGTGTATAAAGCTTTATCAACGTGGGGCCAAGATCCATGAGTGAATGCCTTCTCCCTTATCAACCTGCCTGACCAGTGAGGTTAGCAGATGGCACACTCCTGGTTGCTTCACATGGACCTACAGCACAAACAACAGTCTACCCAGAGAAACTATGCCTGTGGAACTTCTTGCCTTTGGAAGCCAGGAAGGCACCGATATTGTTTTCAAAATCTTCTGAAAATAGCTTTATTCCCGAAAGCCTTCATTGACTAACCAGCCATTGTTTTTATTGATACTCTGTTTTAATCCAGTGCTGCATTTTATCCCATTATTGTTCACCACTGTTTAGAATATGTTTAGATAAGGAGTGATTAGATAAGGAGCAATATATACCATGTTGCATATGTGTATGTCTCTCTCTCTCTGTGTACATACAGTATATGGTAGCCTAATCTAGACCATCTTTTTCCAGCCTTGGTTCTTGACATACTGTTGGACTGAAACACTTGTCATCCTTGACCACTGACACTGTCCTGGCTGGAGATGATTTGCCCATTACCAACATGTCCAGAGTCCTCCCAAAGTTTCATAGAGCACTTCTGCTCACTGCAGCTGCAACCTTTCGCAGGCTCCTATCTCCACTGGAGATGGCAGTGAGTTATAACTTGTCATTGGTCAGATCAAGGAAGTTCACCTGCCTTCCCATTATATCCACTAACACTGATACATCACATGTTCAGCTGTCATCGTGTTGCAATGGACATGGGGTTACTTTTCTTATATCAGTGCTTGGCTTTTGCAGCATCCTATGGTGACAGTTCCTCAGCTTGCCTTTCTATGCTCCAGACCCACGACAATTGGTCCAGCTTAGGAGTCCCAGCCCCAACAAGTATGTTGCCTATGAGTCACAGCACCGGTCCACCAACTAGCTCCAGGTAGGTTTTGTCCTGTGGACAATAGAGCCTTCAAATTTCGATAAACCAGAATATAAACGTTTTTATTTGAGCGTCATTTTAATTGTTAATGTTATTTTTATTTTAAAGTTTTTTGGCCAGGGCGACTTATTTTATACAGTTACGTGTATTTTATATTGCTATTTATGTATTTTAATTTATTTATTTGTAAGCTGCCCCGAGGCTTCGGCGAATGGGGCGGCCTAGAAATTTTCTAAATAAAATAAATAAATAAACGTAACGTTTTAAAAGGAGTTGGTTATAAAGAGCAGCGTCCCCCAGAAAGCATTGCTGTGTGCCATTGAAGTGAATGGGGATTCTAAAAGAGCACAGTTGCAGATTGGTGCATATTCAGTTCTACAGGAGATGTACAGGGCTTGTATAGGAGATGTTTATGGTGGATCATGTCCTTTGTTTGTAAGGACTGTGGCCAATATGCTCGGCAATGTGATGGTAACAGGGTCAGCTATTTTGCTGTTCTTTGTGAAGGGATAGGGATAGGATAGATGGGAGGGGTTGGGAATGGTATGCCTACCGTGTTTGTTTCACAATGATTTTCTGAATTGCATCTTTTTAAAAAATCTGCCATTCACTATATGCAAGTGAATGAACATTTCACTTGTAGCAGAGGCACATGACTTTGAGGCCTTGAGGACTGCATCTGGAGTATGCTGGAGGGGTGCACAGATGCATTCACCTCTACCCACCTGTCTGTGTACATGCATACACACATGCTACCAATTCAGCCCTTTCCATTGTGTACTAAGCAGCTGAGGTCTATGCATAGTTACTGAAAAATAAATCTTAGTGCAACATTTTGCTCTGAGATATGCAAAATACAGCTCAATTCAGTGAATGGCTATTTAGAAGTAAGCTGCAGAATGATGGGGGTTGCAGTCCAACATACCTGTAGGGCAGCAGGTTAGAGAAGGCTGCTGTGAGGCTTTATTATCAATATCTGCTAGATAAAGTTACCCAATTTGGCTTCTGTTCTTTCTCTCTCTCTCTCTCTCTCTCTCTCTCTCTCTCTCTCTCTCTCTCTCTCTCTCTCTCTCTCTCTCTCTCTCTCTCTCTCCCATATATGCACCATATATTATGGCATACTGCATCTAAACATACATCTGGCATTGTTAGTATAATGACTGCCTAGTTCCTCTTTATCTCCACTTTCCACCAGTCAGGGATCCATGTGTTTTGTCCAGGATGGAGACAGTTCTGAGTAACAGATGGATTTTATATTTCTAAAAATAGAGGATCTGCTTCTTATTCCCAGTGGCCCTAGTGAATCCTGAAACTATCATGTCAACCGCTGGAGATCAGTTTGAACACTGGCAAACTTTTATAGCCCATTTAGAGCTTCTCTACACAAAATTGTTAATTGCTTGTATAGACTTTAGATTTTGTGCAGAATTGAGATCCCAGCACTACATGTAAAGTGTTTCTTTGCATGCTTTTCCATTACATAGCATTGTGATATAGCATCGTGATATAACAAATGCACAACTGGATACTTCTGTTGTGTCACTTCACAATTACATGTGGTGTTTCCCTTGCTCCTAAAAAGGGGAGTCATGGAGGGGTCATGTTATTGACTAAAGAATCCATAAACAACTGTGAGTAGGGAATGATGAACATTTGATCAATATTTCCTATGGAATATGCTTGGTCTTTGACCATGCAGGCATTATTATTTCAACATGTTCAACCTTCCCCCTCTTCCTGTTTTAATACCTTGCTTGATGAAGAACTCTAGAGATCACAGATGCGTGTACATCTTTGTGAGCACTGAGTTGGCATATTACACTAGACTAATTATACAAACATGTAATTAGTATTACACTAATATGACTTCTGGAATTGTCCTTTTGCTCAACATGACTACTTTTGCTTTTTGCCCTTCTCACACCCTGCTGTCTTAAGGTCCTGTGGGAAGGTGGTTTGAGGCATTTCTCAGTTTCCTTGAAAGCCCTAAAACTCTTTGCTCCATACACTGATGAAAAAGCTAGTGAAAATATTGGTTGGCAAAAGTGGGGAAGATATTTTCCTAGTCAGGCATTTGGATGCCACCAACATTGCACAGGAATCATGGGCAAACAAATCGGGTCTGTATTATTTCTTCAATTTTCAGGACAGAACACACAAGGGGCAACTTATTTCCACCTCTTATGGAACTAATTAATTTGTGCTACTCTATAGGAATAGTGCATCCTAAAACAGTTAAAGTGAGGTAATTCATAATATGAATGTGTATTATCTCATGCCCGTGTTGATGGAGCTTTTTTGAACAAGAGAGATTCCTGCTGAAACCCATGAAGCAGCTCCTGTCCCCCTTTTGGCAGCTGGAGCATAGCACATTGCCCAAGGCATTCCATCTACTGGCCTGGCTGCGAAAGTCTAACCTGCTTTCTAACCTGTGCTTTTCCTTCTCTTGCAGCCAGTATCCCAACTTGTGGTCTGTGAGCAACAGCACCATTTCACCTGTGTCCCAGTCCAGTGGGATGTCCAGTGGGATAGGGTCCCAGTTTTTGCGAGGCTCTGCTACTCACTACCCAACGCTTCCTCATTCAGTCTCCACCACTTCCACGGGATCTCCACTGTATGACAGTGGGACGCCTACAGACATTGCCGACAGTCAGTATGATACTTCAGTGCATGCTAGACTTGCTCCCACCTGGACTCCCGTCACAACTCCTTCTATGTAGACCTTTCCTTTGGACCAAAGACTTTCTAGCTGCTCTAAACTGGGAATCCAGAAAGAAAGTTCCAGGAGGGTGGAGGAAAAAGTCATGAAGTATGTCAATGGTACAGTAACTGCACTAACTGCTTTATAATCTTTCCAGTGTTATAGTGTATTAATAATGGCACAGTCACCTTATCAAAGGGGCAGGCAACTTGCAGATAACACTAGAATTGTTTGCCATCCCCGTTCCATCGCTGCAGCTCTGAAGCCTAGAACCTTTGCTCACTTAGACTTATTAGAGAGAAAGACTCTGCAATGGAGTCTTTGCTCTTCCATTTTAAAACAGACAGATTTATCAACACAGGGATGGGAAGAACTTGTTTCTCTGTCTTTGTTGTAAGATTTTTATATATAATCGGTGAAGGATGGTTTACACCATGTATATATCTATAACTTGTAGGTGAGTGTGTGAAGTGCTTTTATTGAAAAGCATTGAGCATGTAACAAAGCTTTCTTATGGCCGATCTATTCTGGTTGTTTCACTCATGTGAGCCATCAGTTGCACGTTCGCCATGTCATAACAGCAGCAACAAATGTGAATTTGCACCATATGGTGGCTTTTCATTACCTTACTGGGACAGGTCACTCTCTGTGCTTTATTGCCAGACCTGTTTTTTGGCCCATGTTGTTCAAGACCTATGATGAGTGGATTAGATGAGTAGTTCACCCTGATTATAAATTGTTTCATGCCTGAGGTTTTCAGTAGTATACAAAACTCCGGCTTGGAATTTTAATGTTGCAGATGATATTTTTATCACATTCATGGTAAGTGGCCCACTATACGTGGAGTGATACAAACTGGCCCAAACTGAACCTTTTTACTTGTTTACCTTCATAAATTCAGCCTTAAAGGATGATAGCAGGAAAAAATTGTGCACTAATAGAATATATGTGCCTTAACCATGAAGTTTGCTTCCAACTTGTAGATTTATGCACAACTGTAGGCTTATTTCCTTTGTGATTAAAGTTTAACTGACAATCAAAAAATAGCTCTTTCCTTTATAGCGAATGCAAGTTTTGCAATCACGTGTTCTGTGCCTCTTTGTATAGTGAGTTTTGTTTTTGTGCCGTGCAATCCTATGCATTTTTACTCAGAAATCAGTCCCAGGAAAAACACAGGATTACAACCTTAAGAGCTAATTCAATACAACACACTTATTTCCTATATAGATACCCATTTTGCCACACTTATCCATTGGATAAATTCAGTGAGAAGTTATTGTAACTTATAAGTCACTGTAATCAATTCAGTAGTATGTAATTGTATTTTACTATTATGTGTATAAGCGGTGGAACTGTCATGCATACGTTTATCACAGTTGATCATCTACATGCAATCTGTATGTGGTTTTCCTACATGAAATGATACTTGCCTAGGTAATAGTTCTGTGTGTGAAGCTGTCCTTAATGGTGGTGTGCAAATTATTTTCAACCTATTTAAAGGACTGTTATATAAGACAAGCCATGACCAGAACTCTTGTTCAGACTCTTGATTTTAATGGACTTGAAACTAAGCAATAAGTAGAAAATGCACATTTGAAGGCTTTTTCTTCTAATTTATTTTATTTCAGTATTGGCCTTGAACAAGCTATATTTATTTGTTAGGATATGCTTTTGTATATGTGTATATGCTTGATCTGTTTATTATATCTCTTAAGACAATCACTTTGGGAACATGTCTCCCAACAACACTCAGAGTTCTTATTGAGCTAATAGGAACACTGACAGCTTAAAAGACCAGCAAAGTGAAACCTGAGCACAGTCTTCGGTTTTCTTCTTATAATTTAACTCTCATGAATTGACCTTTGCATCCTCTGAAATCTGAGGTCAAATTCCACTTTAGGCCACGGTGGTCGAAAATGTAGACTAATTGCTTATCAACCAGCTTATGATTGCTTACAAGCCACCAACAACAAAGTCATCAGAACTGTGGCCATTAAATATGTCCCCTGCCAACACTCTAAGTTATTTACTTTAATATGAAAGCTGAATCCTGTAAGTTAAGTACCCACATTATTATTTAGTGTCTGCTCTTATGCATTAGTAAAAATGTATGCAATTCTGTTTTTATTCATTTTAAATGTATTCAGTTAAACTGTGAAACAATGTAGTAACACTCTCTAATAAACCAAATACTTAGCTACCAGCTGATGAAATTACTTTATTAATATTGCACTAATATTGGAATTGATTAAAGTATTCAATTGATTACTTTAGAACACAGGAGCTTCCAGACTGCAATAACTGGTCAATGCATACCAAGATTTTGATCTAACAGAGGCTAAAGTCAGGTACTATACCAGAGCCTTTTCCAAAGAGATATCCTCCAGATGTTTTGGGCTACAACACCCACCAATCTCAGCAAACAGTGACAATTATATCATGGTTACGGAATTCATTAGGCTTGCATGAATGGAGGGCACCTGTCTGGGAAAGACTGTGATAGTATAACCGTATCTGTCCATGGATGCAGGGTTACAGCCAAAGAAAGCTCTTGAAACCTGAATCAGTTGTGCAAGTGCGTGTCCTTTCCCAAATGTTTCTTGAAGAAATCTGGGGATCTGTATAATTTGGTACCAGGGATTGGTAGAGAAGAAAGTCACTGAATGACTCCTTTACATCAGATCTCCTGTTTGAGATTTTGAGCCACTAGCTCTTGAATTCAATGAGGTTTTTTTCTTGTTGGTGATAGTTGTGGAATACTATTCCCCAAGGTTTGCAAGAAACAGGATGGAGGAAAACACCAGTAGAGAAAAGATAAGCGACATCTTAATAACTTAGTACATGCAGCCAACAAATAGTCATTCATTTTGTCCCAATTCATATTTTTAAAATGTGCCTGGATTCTGTGATGCTATAATGCTATTTTTGCTTGTGGAGGCATTTGTGTGAGAGGTTGAATGTGGAAAAACCCAGAGGTCATCAAGGAAGGCTGTAGTGTTCAGGTGTTTTTTGGAAGCTATGGAATAATCCCCAAAGTTATAAAACATATGCTAGTGGGGAAAACACAAACTTTGGATAAAGCATCTCCATAGCCACCATGTCACATTCTGTGAAAGGCAACAATGGGCCTACTCAGATAGTCTTACCAAGTTACAGCTGTGGGCTATGGAGCTGTGCTATGGAGCCCCACCCCTTCAGGTGTATATTATGCAAGTTACCTGGAGCATTCATTCACATGGCATGAATGTCTGTGGAAAAGAAGCCTAGCTGCACAGTCTGCACAATTGATATGGGACCCTGTGATCGTAATGCCTATGTAATAAGTGATGTGGTCAGGGCTTATGTGATGTGGTTTTGTAACCCACTTGCATGATGAATAAGAATGATTAGGGACAAATGAATACCTCTAATATGCAGTCTGAGTGCTGTAACGATACATCCCATGATTGATATGAGCTAACTTCTATCGGTGAACAGTAGAGGTATTGGTTCCCAATATCATGGGACTGTTTTGAAATGGGCAATGAAAGAACCCAAAGACTGCTTGCTCACTTTCCCAATCCACACCCCCTCCCCCCCACCCCAACCACTGATTAGTTCATGGGTTCCTGGCTCTTGCAATCCCCCACCCCATTCTAAAAGCTTGAAATACCTCTCCAAAGGCTCAGGCACCAGCAGTAACAGCTTTCAACTACAACTAGCTGGCATTTTTAGTATGTGAGGTATTTTGGCCCTGCCCCCTTTTAGCCTTCTGATCTACACTGGAATGCAGCCCCTCAAATTTAGCCCCCAGGCTGAATGGGGTACAACACCCCCGATGCAGCCACCTGGGCTCTGTGTGTGTGTGTGTGTGTGTGTGGAGGGGCGGTCTGTTTGCAGAGGTTGGAGCTCAGAGGTCAGGCCTGGCTCAGTCAGCAAATAGCTAAATAAGTGGCAATCTCCCTCTCTGGTTTCAGTGTGACTCATACCATGTAATGTCCTCAGAGCTGGGCTAACACAGCTCAGCTTTTCCTCTTTCTCTGTTAACTAGAACACCCTGTAATCGCCATTTCTTTTGGCCAGTAGCAAAAGATAACCAGTACATAGTGACACCCCCACTTTAAAACAAACAAACAAACAAAAAAACAAAAAAAAAACAAAACAGAATGGCTACCACCTTACATGTAGTTTACTCCTGAGTAGCTACAGCACCACCAGCCACCTCTGAATGTTCCCTGATTCTAAGCCAGTGGCACTTCAGAGGTGGAACTGCTGAGAGAAGGAACTAACACTTGTGGCGTTTACTGGGCACTGCCAGCCTGAGCCCAGCCCTGTTATCCCCAGTTAGCCCTCCTTAGCTTGGGGCACCTCACCAAGCATGTGTGCGCATGTGTGCATGCTTCTTTTCGTCGCTCAGCTGAGCTGCAGCGGTGAGATGGGCCACCCAGTGTTCTGAGCCTTGCGCTCCTGCGGATGCCAGGGAGAGTGGGCTTGAGAGGAGCACGCGATGCGGGAGTGACCCCGTTCAGCAGTTGCCATCCCTGCTCCCCTCAGCATCCCTGGGATACTGGTAGCAGGACTGAGAGGAAGGAAGATGAGGGAGGAGGTGTCTCAAAACCCCCATGGTGCCCAATTGTGAGTCACAGTATTTGCCCCCAGGCAACTTGAAGTCCATCCTGGTCTTAAAGTATCAGCCAATCCAGCCCAGTGGGTTCTTCAGAGAATATAAAAATGTTTTGCCTCGAACCTACCTTATGAAAGAAGAGTTATCAACCACGGTAAGTCATCTTCTTGAATGTCTTAAATTTTCTGCAAAATGCTTCTTTAAAGTACAAACTCTGTTGCATAACTTTAAAGTACAAACCCTGCTGTTGGAATGCTGTCATCTTGGAAGAAAATTATGACATTCCCTTAATCCTGGTTGCCTAAAGGGACACAAGGAGCTAGCAACCTGTCTGGAAGAATTCTTTTATCTAAAGAGGACGTCCCTCCCTGCCCTTGTTTCTATGGCAACAGCATCTAATACTGTCCAAAAGGAGT